AGGCATAAACACGTACACGGATGCCATGGTGATGATCCAATGGCGACTTTCCCGGAGACGACCAATTCAGTGGGAGTCACTGCGAAAGAGGGAGTTCCGATACCCGAAACGAAGGACACACTCAACAAGGACAGGACTGGTTTTTCTCCGTAACATTGGAGATTGATTAATGGCCATGATAGTTGGATTATAGTTCCTAGTTTATTATTGCTCATTAATCATGCATGTTTTACGTGATTGCTTATGTGCAAATACAAACATGTTAAGAAAATCCCATAAACTAAAAATTATATTAAGTGTGTAATGGGTTGAAATAAATTACATCCAAGGCCTCCATTATAGGTTTGTCAGTGAAGTGATTTAATTTGAGCCCAAAGGACGTTTTATTTAACGGTTCACAAGGACGAATCTCCTTCGGGATGGTTATAGTGAGCTATTTCAAAAGCGTACGGGTCACCCAAAGGTGGACGTATAATATTGGTAGTAAACTTACTACCAATTAATGGGTTACGCTTAAAGTGCAAATAATTACGATAGTCCCAAAGGACAAGGTCGTTTTTATTCTTTTATAAAGATTATTCTTTTAAAAGTTAATTGCGCTGGCCAAAAGATGAAACCGACTATTAATTGAGTAATGTTGGGCAGTATGTCAAGCTAATGGTATTTATCCCTCCTCTTGCAAATGTTTGAACAGTAGACGTCCACACTCAGTGGCCTGCGGGGATTCGGTGTTTTGAGGTATTGGTGAATTTATTCAAATGTTGTTTTAATGGGATCAATATTTGATGTATAAATTCAAAACTACTTGACTGAGTAAAGACTATGTTTGCATGATCCCAGGAATTCAAAATGTCTTTCAATCTGTTGTCCGTAATTCTCAAAGAAAACAAACTTGTTGGACCCAATTATATTAACTGGAAAAGGAACTTGGATAGTGTGTTAACTGCTGAGGGGTACAAATTTGCTACTGTTGAGGCTTGTCCGGCTGTGCCTGCTGACAATGCACCAGACCAAGAGAAAGAGGAGTATGCTCGGTGGAAAAAGGCTGACGAGATAGCGAAGTGTTACATCTTAGCATCGTTGTCAAATGTACTTCAACATCAACACCAGTCTATGAACACTGCAGCGGATATGCTTCTCAATCTCAAGGAGTTATTTGGTCATCAGTCGCGGGCTGCCCGACAAGAAGCCATGAGGGTTCTGATGAACATGACCATGCGCGAGGGCACTCCCGTAAGGGAACATGTTCTTGCTATGATGGCCCAGCTGAATGAGCTGGAGGTTCTTGGGGCTTTTATTGCTGGGGAAACCCAGGTCGATATAGTGCTCCAGTCTTTGCCGAAGAGC